CCGGCCAAGCCGGAGAGGGTCCTGAAGATTGGAGCCAAGCTCCCCGAAGACCTGAAGACTGGCATCACCGAAGCACTCCGCGCCTACTCCATTGTTTTTGCATGGGGGCCGGAGGACATACCAGGAATTGACCGAAGGGTTATCACCCACCGCCTAGCGGTGGACCCTTCGGCCAAACCAGTGCAGCAACGAAGAAGACCCCTCTCGGCCGAGAGAAGGGAGTTCGTGAAGAAGGAGGTATCCATGCTCCTCTCCATCAAACACATTAAGGAGGTGGAATACCCTTCTTGGTTGGCAAACGTAGTCCTCGCACAGAAGCCTCCTACCTTCCGCATGTGCGTGGACTACACAGATCTGAATAAGGCGTGCCCTATGGACCCCTTCCCTCTGCCAAACATTGACCAACTGGTGGATGAGACCGCGGGATGCGAGATCATGTCATTCCTCGACGCGTTCCGCGGATATCATCAAATCTACATGCATGAGGAAGACGCTGAAAAAACCGCCTTCATGACACCCGAAGGTATCTTCTGCTACCTTGTGATGGCCTTCGACCTCAAGAATTCAGGCGCCACCTACACCCGAATGGTGGCCAGGGTCTTTCAAGCTGTCTTGGGGCGCACTATGGAGGCCTATGTTGACGATATGATTGTCAAGAGCAAGAAGGCCGGCACTCACGTCGAGGACCTCCAGGAAATCTTCGCCATCATGCAAAAATTCAACCTCCAGTTGAATCCAAAAAAATGCACCTTCGGCGTACAAGGTGGAAAATTCTTGGGCTATATGGTAAGCCGAAGGGGTATCGAGGCCAACCCCGAGAAAATTCAGGCCATCATCAATATGGAGCCTCCGCGCAACGTCAAAGAAGTTCAACGGTTGACGGGTCGCCTGGCAGCCCTCAACCGTTTCCTCTCCAAGTCAGCCGAGAGGGCCCTCCCCTTCTTCCAAACCATGAGAAAGACAGCGGACTTCCAATGGACATCTGAATGTCAAGAGGCCTTCGACGAACTTAAGAAGTACCTCTCTTCTCCCCCAGTGCTCTCCAAGCCGAAGGTGGGGGAGACTTTATACTTATATCTTGGTGTTAGCCCTTCGGCCATCAGCTCAGTGCTAATCCGGGAGGAAGACGGCGTCCAACACGCCATCTTCTACGTCAGTAAGACCCTCCGGGAAGCCGAACTCAGGTATTCTCCCGTCGAGAAGACGGTGCTAGCCATCGTTTGGACCGTCAAGAAGCTTGGCCACTACTTTCAAGCTCATCCGGTCCAAGTGCTCACACATCAACCCCTCGGCGCCCTCATGAGGAGCCCCACAAGTTCCTCCCGCATGGTGAAATGGGCCATCTTCCTCAGCCAATACAACATAGATATCCGTCCGAGGCCGGCCATTAAGGGCCAAGCCCTGGCAGACTTCGTAACGGAATGCACCGCAAGATCAACAACAGACGAGGAGCCTTCGGCACCCCTCGATGAGTGGTGGACCCTCTATACCGATGGCTCCTCGGCCACCAAAGCATGCGGAGGGGGAGTAGTTCTAATCACACCCGAAGGCTTCCGCGCCTACTATGCCATTCGCTTCTCCTTCAAAGTCTCCAACAACGAGGCCGAATACGAAGCCCTGCTCTGCGGCCTTCGGCTGGCGGCAAATCTGAAGGCTAAGATGATCCACGTCCGGTGTGACTCCAAACTTGTCGTGGGTCAACTTTCCGGGGAATACGAAGCCAAGGAAGGGAGGATGAAACAATACAAGGAGGCCGCCAAAGAGTTGCTTAAGGTATTTGAGGCACATTCCCTCACCCAAATACCGAGGGCTCAAAACTCTGAGGCCGACATTCTATCCAAGCTCTCGGATGAATCCCCCGAGCACCTCTCAAAAATTGCAAGAATTGAGGAACTCAGCCTCTCAAGCATCCACGCAAGCCCCGTCATGAGCATTAACCTAAGGCCGGAGGATTGGATCTCCGACATCATCGCCTTCATCAACACAGGGCAACTGCCCCAGGACGAAGCCCGCGCCAAGTTAGCAAAGCTGAGGGCTCCCAGCTACACCCTCGAGAATGGGAGGCTTTACAAAAGATCTTACAACGGCACCCTCCTTCGGTGCCTTCATCAAGATGAAGCCGAAGTTGCTATGGAGGAAGTGCACAGTGGCACTTGCTCAGCCCACCAGGGACCCTTCTCCATGTCCCGAAGGCTCATAGTTCAAGGCTACTTCTGGCCCACGATGGCTAGAGATTGTGCGGATCTAGCCCGGAGGTGCACCGCTTGCCAACACTTTCAGAAGGCCCCCGGCAGACCAGCGGTCAACTATGCTCCCATCAGCACCGCTATACCCTTCTCCAGATGGGGGATTGATTTAGTAGGCCCTCTGCCGAGGGGTACCTCCAACAATAGGTATATCATTGTGGCCATTGACTACTTCACCAAATGGGTGGAGGCGGAGCCCCTCGCCAGCATCACTGAGGCCCGGTGCCGCCACTTTGTTCTCAAAAATATCCTCACAAGGTTTGGCGTCCCCCAACAAATCATCTCCGACAACGGGACTCAATTCGAGGCAGCCCCCTTCTGTGCCCTCCTGGAGGCATGGGGCATCAAGCACACTTTTTCATCCGTTGCCTACCCTCAGGGCAACGGGCAAGTAGAAAATGCCAACCGCACCCTCCTCGAGGGGTTGAAGAAAAAGCTGGAAGCCGAAGGGGGAGGCTGGGTAGAAGAGCTTCATAACATCCTATGGGCCTACCGCACCACCCCTCGGCGTGCAACAGGTGAAACGCCCTTCTCCCTATGCTATGGCTTTGAGGCTAAGGCTCCAACAGAGGTTACCCTTCCGACCCGAAGGGTGGAACAATATGAACCCGAAGTCAACGACACCAACATGGCCCTCGACCTTCATCTCATCTCAGAACGCCGAGAGCAAGCTTTTCTCAGGGCCGAGAACTATAGGAGACAAGTCAAAGGATACATCGACGCCAAGGTCCGCTCCCGGGAATTCCAGGTGGGAGACTACGTCCTCCGACGAAGGGAGGCCAGTCTACCCACCGAAGGAGGAAAGATGGCGCCCAAGTTTGAAGGCCCCTACATCATCTCAGCCATCATCAGACCGGGGACATACAAACTGAAACGCCCTAATGGGACGGAGGTCCCTAGACATTGGAATGTGCACCACCTTGTCAAATTCTATCAATAAGGCATGAGCGGCCAAGCCCTCATCCTCAGCAAGTGTAAATATCAATGGCCCAAGGCCCCATCTGTTTTTGAAGAATAATCACGAGGCCAAGCCTTCATCACCTACATATTGTACAAACGGCCCAAGGCCCCCCTTCTCTCCTACACATGGGTGGCCAAGCCCTCATCTCTCCACCAAAATAGGCCCAAGGCCTCTCCCTCTGATGAGGGGGAACAACAATTTAGGTACCAAGTACCAAACGTATGGGTCACCCCCATCACTCTTTGAAAACACCAAGTGTTTTCTCACTAAGCCGTACCCCACGAGGACGCAATCATGCATACATTATGCATACTTATACATATTCTATCCTCCAAAAAAAAAAAAAAAAAAAAAACCGGGGGTGCAACACCCCTCGGCTCCGGCTGGTACCAAGTGCCCCCGGCTATTTGTGTTCCACACGCAAATAAAACCCTTCCCAGGAACGCTTTCCGCGCCATCCCCCAAGGGGAGGCAGGCAACGGACCATGTCCCGGGCCCAGGATTCGACTTCCACAAACGAAACGCTCCCCGCGCTATCCCTCAAGGGGAAGCAGGCAACAGACCATGTCTCGGGCTGAGGGGACGACTTTCAAAACCGAGGCGCTTTCCGTGCTATCTCCGAAGGGGAAGCAGGCAACAGACGATGTCTCGGGCCAAGGAAACGACCCTCAAACCCTTCGGGATATCGGAAGGTCATTCCCGAAGGGGGAGCCAACGGTTTGTTCCGTTGCCTCCCGTATAGGCCAAGCCTTCCCTAGAAACCAAGTTTCTAGATGCCTCTCCTACACCATCTAAAAAAAAAAAAAAAGAAAAAAAAAAAAGATGTGTAGGGGGGAAGGAACTCCCCGGATACTATTCTCCCCGGAGGCTCAACACTTCGGATATGCATTCCCGAAGGATCCTACAAAGACGAAATAAAATCCCTCAACAACAAGTCATCTGGCTACATAGCCGAAGGCTTCACTGCATGAAGCCTTGGAGTACAAGAATTCCACCGGAGGCCCAAGAAGAGGGCTCACTAAGCAAAACTTCACCTAAATTTGGCTAAGGCCGAAATTTGCCTGGATCAAAATCAACTATGTGCCACGCCGAAGGCTACACACAGTTCTAAGGCAAGCTAAATCTATACCTACACAAACCGGAGGGTTCATGCCAAGGGAAGAAGGATCACCAAGCTCATTCAAACGATCTCAACAAATCTCAGAATTTCACTAAGTCCATAATCTTGGACCCCTCGGCAACTGTACACACCGGGGGCCCAAGCAACTCTCACGCCCGAAGGTCCACTACGGCACCTATTGAAGCTTTATGGAAATTTGCCTAAGTCCACGATGGGGGAGCCCTTCGGGGGCAAACCGGGATACTATCTTCACCAACCTTCGTGCAGCCGATGGCCCCCTAATCTACTTGGCAATAACCTAATGCTACACTACGGTCGGAGGCTCGCCACTACCGAGGGCCTGGTCACCGAGGACATGATCTAAGTTCTTACTCAGGAAATTTTCTAAGTCCACAGCTTCAAGCCCCCCGATGGTCCTACGCTACGGCCGAGGGCTCATGATTGGGTTTACACTTAGAAAGATTTCTAAGTCCACAACAACGACCCCCCGGCGATCCTACTCTACAACCGGGGGCTAGCAAGGAGTTACACTTATAAAGAATTTCTAAGTCCACAAATTTGTGGCCTCCGGGAAAGCAAACATTCATTCAAGAAAGGAAAAATCATTCATATGCAAATACAAAAAGAAGCGAGAGCATACATTCAAAGGCGAAGGCTAATACTATCAAACGATGGCAACCACTCATTAAAGAAACCCGGAGGCATATCACATTCATTGAAAAAACGAAACAGAGTATTAACAAGGATGCTTGTTTACAATTTGCCGAAGCCTATGAGCTATTACAAGTCAAAAATTTCAAAGCAGCATCAAGCTTGGGCGCTCCCAGCTGCGTCTTCCTTGGCCTTTGAAGTAGCATCATCCTCAATCTCCCCTTCATCATCAGCCAAGTTGTACTCCCTCATCAGCTCAGAGTCCGCGAGTTGGACCCTCTCCTCACCCTCCGGAAGGGGGACCCTCACATCAGGCTGCCGAAGGGGGAGACCATAGGCCGAGGGGTCAAATTTGTCCTTGGGAATTTTTAAGTGCTCCGCCAGCTTCCGGTAGATGAGACGCTGAGTGAAGAACTCGCCCCCGTCAAAGTAATCTTTGCCCTTCAGGGCCATCCATTCAGACCCGGGGCCTTTCACCCAAGCATCAACACCCTGCTTTATGACCGAGGCCACCCATTCTTTGTGCTCCTCGGTTTTCCACCCCTCGGCGAGGAAGGAAGCGATGCCGTCTTCCCTGGCCTTGGCCGCGGCCTCAGCCTTGGCCTTCTCAGCTTCCTCGGCCGCTTGCTTTGTGGCTTCGGCAGCGGCTTTCTCCGCTTCAGCCTTCCCCTCGGCGCGAGCCTCCACCCTCGCGGCCTCCAGCTTGTCGCCCGCCTGCCTCAGGGCCTCCTCCAGCTCAGCCATCTTCCTGATGGCCTCGGTGTTCTTGGCGACAAGCCTCTTGAGGGCCTCATCGTCTTCCGCCTTCCGGAGGCGAAGCTGTTCCATTCTCCGGACATATTCTCCGAAGGCCAGGCTAGCCTGCAAGCAGAGGAGGGACACTAAAAGTCAGAACCTGCAAGCAGGAAATATGTGAAAGTAAAGCATGTGTTTAGCGAAGGGGAGGAACTTACCGTGACTGAAGCCTCAAGTGCTTTCCGTTCGAGGGCTTCATCCTCAAACTTGCCGAGGGTCGAGCGGTCTAAGGGGGGAGTGGCGCCCTCCAGATATTCCCTTGGGTCGAGGGTTCCATGGACGATAGCCGTCCCCTTCTTAAAGGAGAACTGCACCGTCTCCTGCGGCCAAGCCCCCTCATCAAGGTCCACTAGATGAGAGGAGGAGGGCTCTTCAAGGATCACCAGGGGGGCACCCTTAACTTCATCGGCCCCCCTCAACTTCTTAGTTACCGGAGGCTTGGAGCCCTTCCCGGTGTTCTTTCTCTTAAGCTCCCCAACTTGGGAACCCCCGGCACCAGCACCGGCATCAGCAGAAGGAACCTCCTTAGTGGACTCCTTATCTTCCGGAGTCTTAGAAGCCCCAGCCTTCTTCAAGACTTCATCGACGAGGGGTTGATTCGCCGAGGGCCCTTCCTCCTTCTTCTTCTTCGGGACCTTCGACAGCTTTTTTGATAGTCGCGCGAAGGCTTGCACATCCATAATATCACCTGCAAAAGACAAAGAAGGGTTAGAATCAGGGCTAATCAAGGAGAAATATTCTAAGTACAAAAAAAAACACAGGAGCCCTCAGCTACAACCTCCGGCGTTTTGATACCCCCGGTCGATCTTAGGATATTTCTCATCTTCATCCCCCGGGAGGCGATACCGCCTGAAGCCCAGCAGGTAAAGATCCTCTGGGAGCGTCGCCGCCTTGATAGCGATCACCTTATCAGAGCCCTCGGGCTTCTCGGTGAGTTTCTTACCAGCCTTCTGCAGTGCCGCGCTGCCCACCTTCGGATGCCTACGGAAGTGATTGCGCAGGGCCCCCGGGAATGGGTTATCAGCCATCCGGATATAACAAAATTTTTCCTTCCATTCCTTGTGCGATGAGGGGGTCTCGGAGAATAGCTTCCAAGCCGGCACCTGTTGCAGATTAGCATATCCCCCGGCGTGGGAATGTCCACCGCGGCACAGATTAAAGGAAAGGAAAAATTGATCTAACGTAACCTCCACCTTCCGGCTCTGGCAGAGAGATAAGAACCCCGCCAAGTAATAGTGGCTGTTTGGAGTTAGCTGGCAGGGGGCTAGCTTCACAAACCTCAGGTACTCCAAGACGAAAGGGTGGAGTGGGAACCTGAGACCCAACTCCACCGACAGCATGTGAACAGAGAAACACCCCTCCGGGGGGTGAGAGAGCAGATCTTCAGTCCCCGGCTCCACGACCTGCGCCGAGGGCCCCACGAGGACTTGGAGGGCTTGATAATCAGCACCCGAGGCCGTGGTTTTCACCTCGAGGGCAGTAGTGTCCAAATACGAGTGCCCCTCGGGGATCCCGACGGGGCGACCAGCATCTATGGCCGCTCGCTTCTTCTTGGGAGCAACCTTCAACTTCTTCTTCCTTTTTCCCGGGGCCACGCTTAGCGGATCAGGGTCCAATGGTCGGGAGGTGCTTGCCTCGCCAGCACCGCGCAAGGGTAGAACAGCAACCGTCACCCGAAGGCGTTCCTTCTCCTCTTCTTCTTCTGCTACCTGGAGAGCGAGGGCCATCTCCTCATCCTCCGCCACCTGCTCGAAGTCTTCAGCTTCGGCCTCAGTACGAAGGTTGCTCTGCACCTCCCTCGCCACCTCCGAATCATTGTTGGAGGAGGCTTGCCCGCTCGACGGCTCCACATCCGAATAGCTCTCGGATTTTGCCGGAGCCTCCTCCGAGATATTTTGGGAATCGCTCGCGGAGGACATAGTTGTGAATAAGGGGAGGGTTCCTAACCGAGGGTTCTAAAGTTCTCTAAACACTAAGACTGAAGACGGGGAAGCAAAATGTGCTAAGGGAACGAAGAACAGAAGAGGAACTGACCTTGAGGCGAAGGAAAAGCTTGGGTTTGATCGACGACAACACTTTCTCTCTCTAGAAAATTCAGCAGAGCTTCGCTAGAGTTTTTGAACGCACAAGAAGAAATGAACTCGGCTCTAGGGTATTTATAGGCAACTGGGCCTCGAGAACTGGGCCTCGATTCGAAAGCCCATCATTACGGGCCGCCGGTTCAGCCAATAGGTGGATACCGCCCACCTTCAGCCAACGGCAGCCGGTGTTGGTCCCGGTTAATCTGGTAACAGTCTAGAGGGGGGGGGGGGGGTGAATAGACTGTTATGGTTTTTAACTTTTTCCAGTCAAGTACCAAGGTAAACAGAATAGTCTGTTCTGTTGAGAACAGACTGGCAGCGGAGATCTTCTGGTAAGTGTTCTGTCGGGATAGCCTCACAGAAGAGTAAAGGCACTTGGCCTTCTGGTAACTCACTAGAGGTGTTCTGCTGAACACAGATACCACTTCTTAGGAGTTAATCAGTTTGCAAGAAATAAAAGCTGTAAGTAAATAACACCAGGGATTTTTATAGTGGTTCAAGGAACAACTCGTTCCTCTAATCCACTGTTCCACTAAGCTTGTAAAGCAACGGTTACAACGCCTTAGTCCCTAGAACTTAAGAAGCTCTCCACGTCTTCTTCAAGTCTAGATGTCTCCTGGGATGCACTTCCTTGCTTCCTTTAAGACTGGTCTTGTTTCACTGAGTCTCCTTGAAGTATCTCCACTTCACTACTCGAGCTACTTTCAGACGTCCTTCTTTGTAGAAGATGTTCTGTTGAGAACAGAGTTTTCTCCAACTTGCTTCGTCACAAAAGATTTGTAATGAGGTGCTTGAAGAGTTGAAGAACAGTAGGAACTTTGCCCTTGTTGGTGATGAAGAGTATGTGAACTTATGATCTTCCCAACGTAGGCCTTTCTTGTTGATGGAGTTGGAGTGTTGAATTTCAAGAAGGCTTTTTGTAAATAGAGCACAAGTTGTGGCAAAAGTTACCAAGTTGTTCTTCGAATAGTATCTTTTATACTGAGGCTGTCTTCCCGTTGGAGGAGGAGACAACTACTTTAAATGCACGTACAGTTTGAGTTGACCGGCTGGGCCCGCAAGTTTGGCGGCTTGCTATTTTGGGATAGGCTTTCCAGGAATCTCGGTCAATCATCAGCTTTTACTCTTCGGAGCATGGGGCTCATTAAATGAGCATTAAATGCAGTCTTGTAGTATTTCCGTTGAGTATGAGCTAGCCGTTGAGGGAATCTTCCGTTGAAGTATTTGTCAAAAACTTCTAAGTGTCTGATCTTCTGCTGGTTTACAGAGGGTCTCGAGCTCTTCTGACTAGAGAAAGTCCAACAGAATACCATAGGTACATCTGAGGAGCAAAAGGTTAACAGAGGAGTTGAGGGTCTTCTGTCAAGCAAAATTCTAACAGAGGATCTGTTAGGCAGTCTATCAACAGAGGATCTTCAGGTCTTCTGCCAGTTGACTATTCTAAAATGTACTTACAAGGAGAAAATTCTAATACATCATAGCTAAAGGGGGAACTCTAATGTTCTAATCTGTTTAGCATCATCAAAATCTAAATACAATTATTCCTTACAATTTCCCCCTTTTTGATGATGCCAAAACCCTTAAACTGTTTCCAGAGAAGTGCCTTTCACCATGAAGGAAAATAAGTAAGAAAAACTTTTATTTAAAATCTTGGTGGACACTTGGCATAGGAAAACAGCAAGAGTACAATACAATCAATCACACATATAATCAAATAAATAAAAGCATAAAACAAAGAAATTGAGAGAAAATAGAAGAGCAAACAGAAGATTTTATTGAGCAGAGGGGTAGAAAGGTTACATTTACAGATTTTCTCCCAAAGCTGTTCTTAGTGCAATTGCTTCTCTTTTATCGAATGACTTCAGTTCTGCATTTACCTTGGCTCTTATCACTGACAGATGTCCAGACTCTTGAAAAGATGCCCAGACTGGAGAGAGTTTGCAGTTGAGATAGTGAAGAATGGCTTCTTCAACAGAGTTGCCTGGCAGAACATTCCTGGCAAACCAGTTCTCTGCTTCTTCAAAAGAGCCACCATGCTTAACTCTCAGAGACCCATCAGAATCAAGAAAGATGTTCTCTTGTTGAGTTGGAGTCATTTTCTTCTTGATTTCTTCATACTGGGCTTTGGTTATCTTCAGTGAGCCTTCCTTTCTCCAATCTAAGAAGGTCAGGGCCTTCTTCTTAGTACTTTTCTTCAGAGGGGCTGGAATAGATGGCTGTGCAGAGGAGCCAGCAGCAGCTTTCTTCTTGAGTCTCAGCTGCTCAAAATATGGTGTAGGATCAGGTGTAGATGTCCTGACAAGCTGCATCTGTTGAGCCGGCTGTGGGTTCTCTTCCCCCTTTTTGGCATCAGTGAGATCTTGGAGAAGGAGACTGATTTTCTCAAATTCAGAGGCATGAGCTTTACCCAAGTCTTCAATAGCAGTGGGGATAACAGAGGTAACTTCAGCCAGGGAGTCAAGGAGCTTCTTCTGTTTCTCAACGTCATTAGCTATGGTTTGAGTATGGCTTTCCAGTTGGATGAGCTTATTGTACCTTTCTTTGTCAGTACAAGCAAGAGCCTCAAACTGCTGCTTATTGTTTGAACAAAGGGTCTCAATCCGGTTGAGTTGGACAGTCCTTTCCCTATCAGACCTTTGGAGCTGCTCAACAGAAGAGGTTAAAGAAGAGATTGCTTTTTCTTGAGTACCAAGGGCAGCTTGAAATGACATCAGAGTCTTCTGTATCCCATCAACAGAAGAGGCTAGAGTAGTGGACTTCTCAAGCAGAGAGTCCTTCAGAGAGTTTAGGTCCGAGGTGACCTTAGTTGCAAAGCCACCAGCTGCTTGCAGGAACTCCTTGAACTCCTCATTTGGTATCTCCTCTGTATATCCCAGCATCTTGAGTCTGCGGACAGGAGGTCGGCTTGGTACATGCTCTTGGGCAGAGGAGCTAGACTTCTGTTGGTATCTTGGAGGGGTCTTCTCCCTTTTTGAGATGGCGACATCAGGGTTGCTGTAGAGGAACCCTGTCTGACCTAGAAGTTCTTCATCAGTGGAAGAGCCTTCGTAGGAGGAGTAGAAGGGGAGTTTATCCCTGTTGATCTGCTGTTTTCTAGTTGGAGAAGGGTTGGAGGCAGTAGAATGTCTGGAGTAACCTTGAGGGGCAGGAGTGACAGAAATTGTTTTGGGATCACAAGAGCTGTTGCTGCCCTGGTGTTGCTGATGTTGAGGAGAAGGGGGTGGTGGAGAATGTGATCTGGATCGTTGTGGGGTTAGCTGTTTGCAGGGAGAGGGGTTCTGAGGGGGAGGTTTCTGTTGAGTTGGAGTTTTCTGTGGTGAAGGTTGATTGGATGGAGTTTTCTGAGGAATTGGGTGAGTAGATTGGGTGCTTTGTTTGTGCAGAGATTCATTAGCAGAAGCATAGGGTGTGGGTGGTTTGGATGAGGTCTTCTGCTGTGGTGAGGGTGATTTGGATTCATGGATTGGTGAGGGAATGGGTGTAGAGGCTTTAGAGGGTGAGGGAACGGGGGAAGGAGGGGGAGTAGGAATGTGATGTTGGGGAGAGGGAATAGGAGATGGAACAATTACCTCAAGTTCATGCATTTGAGACCTTCTCCAGTCTGCAA